TCGCCTGTTTTTTTTCCGTCGGCCCATCTTGTAATGTCGCTGGCACTTGCCTGCGTGCTCGCGGAGGCATTTTGGCGGGTGGGGGAGGGGGGTCACTCATAAGGGGCAATGATCAATCTACCTGCCCACAAGCTGCAAGCCGTCTCGCTCACTCCCACCAGCCCTCCCAACATGTATGTATCACCCGAGTCTCAACATAGGTAGGGGCCGCCATGGACGACCATCGGGAACCAATGCAGACGCCAGCCAGGTGCGCCACATTGGGCAATATTTCGACCCCCCCGCCCCCCATTTCGACCCTCCAACCATCCCTTTCAAAAACCAAAGCAAAGAGACGGCGGGTTGGCGAGCATTGTGTGTGTGTGTGTGTTGTGCTTGGGAGCGCGCACCAGGCGGTGTGCCGCTCCCTTCGCAGTCCTTGGCAGAGTGAGCTTTTGCTGCAATTCTGGTTGACAAGAACGGTGGGCCTGCACGCAGCAGGCAACATGCTGGCACTCCCGCCATCCCTGTCAACAATCAGTGCAGCGTGAGCGCGGGGCGTCCGCGCATGATCCAGATTTGGGTGCAAGGTGCATGTCGTATAGTATCTTGCGACGGATGGTGGAGGTGTGCTGACCTTGCGCACGGCAGGCAATATGTCGTCCCCCCACGCCGTTCTTATCGAAAATTAGAGCAAAATGATCGCGGGGCGGCCGCGTTCACAGTGCACACTGTATTGTTTTCCCAGAAAGGATGGTGGAGAGTTGCTGACGGTGCACAGCAGGAAATGTGACGGCACCCCGCCGTCCCCGCCAAAAACGAATCCGAGGTATTCGCATGGCGTCCGCGCGCGATCCAAATTTTGGTGCAACGTGGATCTTGTGTGTGGTTTTCGCGCAAGGTGCGATGGGGGGGCCCGCATGGCCCCGGGCTTGTCGCCATTCGGGCGGGGGAGGGTGCGCGCATTCATAAGGGACAGTCTGCAAGCTACCCCAAGCCGCAAACCGCGTCGCTCATTCCTCGGCGTCACCCCAACATACTAATACTATATGTGCGTCGCCCCCCCAGGGGAGACGCGCGCACCGAGAAATCTTCTAGTGTACGCGTCGTGGCGGACGCTTGCTGACCACGCCGCTCGGGAAGCGATATACTCGAGCATCAGGTGAGAAGGGTGGGGCCCGAAGTGCCCGCGCCAATTCACAGATCTGGCGTGCATTTTTGTATAGAGTTTTGTCTCGGATGGTGGGCATGCGCTGTGTGTGAAGACCGCTCATATCACCTTTCTATCCATCTATCCTGGTATCTTCTTGGCTCATGTATTGGACACTGGGCAGTCCTACAGGATGGGACTCGCGCCGCTCGCCCGCGGCGCATGGGAAAAGGTTTCTCTTCTCTCTTCCCAATCGTCCTCTACCTACGGACCCCACGGTAGGTTCGACTCATTGGTCGTCAACCTCCGTACACATGCAGAAGGCAGTAAATATGAGGGGTCCCCCTTCGTCCCCATGTAAGAAAACCAATGATCAATGATCGCGGGGGGCGCGCGCGTGAGCCAGATGTATTGCCACGAAGCGTGTTCTGCATTGTGCTGACAGGGGGGTGGTTCTGCGCAGAGCGGACGTTGCGATGGCAACGCCGCCGCCCTTGTCAAGAACGCATGCGGAGTGATCATGGGGCGCCCGCGCGCGGTCCATATTGTGCCGCAGCACAACTTGCATTGTGTTTTGACAGGGGTAGTGGGCCTGCACGGAGCGGACAGTACGAGGGCACCCCGGTTGTCCTGGTCAAGGTCCAATGAAGAGCGATCACGGGGCGGTCGTGCACGGCTCATGTTTTGCCGCACGGTTTTTGACAGGGATGGCAATGGGGGTTGCCACTGGCCCGGGTTTGTCGCTGGTCGGGTGGGGGAGGGGGTGCATGCTAACAGAGAGGCTATCTTGGTCGTCAGTGAGCGCATATTGGAGTCGGATGTTGGATGCATATTGGAGTTGCATTGAGTTCTCGTGGGGTCATCTTGACCGTTTTGGCGGCATCTTGGGCTGTCTTCGGGGCAACTTTGGAGGCCCAGCCGGCCCCCCTTTCAAGCGCGCAATTTGGACCTCGTTGGGGGGGGTTATAGGTGGGGAAGAATTTCACGCGCGTTGAGAATCCAAGGGGTCGCCGGATTTCGAGAGCGAGCCCGCGGTAGTGCGAGCGCATGTCACGATTTGCCTCTGGGCTGGATTCGATACGTGTGCATTTGCGGAGAGCATTGCTTCATTTAAAATATGCGCCGCGCCATGGGGTCGAGGGGTGTGGCGTGGCCGGCCGGGTGTCGGGGAAACGACGATGCGTCCAGCTAGATTTGCAGTTTGGAGATCTCCGCTTGCGGCACCGCGCATCTCCGCCATCGGGTTGGGGGAAGCCGCGCAACAACGCTGTAGCGTGGCATGGCTGCAGCGTTGCGTGGTTGGATCCAGGTGACCTTGAGGGCGCTCCTGGCTCTGTTCCGACACATTTCGTTGGAAGTCAGAGCTCTTCCAAGTGCACCTTGAGCCCGACCTCTTGGACCCCTCTGGCGGATGGGCATCGAGCGCCCCGCTTGCCATTCGGCTCTGGGCCGTGCGGGCACAGGGCCCCAGGATTGTGAAGGCCTGACGGCCGGTGCCGCCGACCCTGAACGACATCGACGACGACCAAGAGGGATAGGAGGAGGAGGAGGAGGAGGAGGAGGAGGAGGAGGAGGAGGAGGAGGAGGCAGTGATAAGGAGGGGAGGAGGAGGAGGAGGAGGGAGAGGAGGAGGAGGAGGAGGAGCAGGAGGACCATTCGGGGCGCACAGGGCCCCAGGACTTCGGCGCCAGCACCGACTGCGCGTGGGCCTCGAGCCGCTGGGGGGGGGGCGCACGCGAGCACGCTGGGCCGTGTCGCGCCGCTGCGGCGGCGGCCCCGGCGCAGGCGCCCAAGCTTGAAACCGCCGGGGGCGGCCAAGAGGGGGGTGATGACTAGGGGGGGGGGATTTCATGGCGTGGGCCTCCTCCTCCTCCTCCTCCTCCTCCTCCTCCTCCTCCTCCTCCTCCTCCTCCTCCTCCTCTTTCCCTCCTCCTCCCTCCTCCTCTCCTCCTCCTCCCTCTTCCCTCCTCCTCCTCCTCCTCCTCCTCTCCTCCTACCCTCCTCCTCCTCCCTCCTCCTCCTCCTCCTCCTCCTCCTCCTCCTCCTCCTCCTCCTCCCCCTCCCCCTCCCCCTCCCCCTCCTCCTCCCCCCCCCGGGGGGGGGGGGGCGGGGGCCCGCGCGGGGCCGCGGTGCGCGCGCCGGAGGCGCGGCCGCCGGTCCGGGGCGGCGAGGCCTCTCGGGGTGAAGTTTTTTGTTTGTTTGTTTGTTTTTTGTTTGTTTTTTTTTTTGGGTATTTCTTGATATATATATATATATATATATTTATATATATATAATATATCCCCCTCCTCCTCCTCCTCCTCCTCCTCCCTCCTCCTCCTCCTCCTCCTCCTCCTCTCTCTCCTCCTCCTCCTCCCCTCCTCCTCCTCCTCCCCCCTCCCCCTCCCTCTTCCCTCCTCCTCCTCCTCCTCCTCCCTCTTCCCTCCTCCTCCTCCTCCTCCTCCTCCTCCTCCTCCTCCTCGTCCACAGGGCGCCTGGCGCACAGGCCCAGGCCTCGGGGGCGGCAAAGAGGGGGGTGATGACTAGGGGGGGGGGATTTCATGGCGTGGGCCATGATTTTTCCCCAGACTTCATGGCTCCCCTCCTCATTTCACGGCGTTCCTGGCCCCCCCTGGGGCCGCGCACACGCCGCCGGCCACGATTTGCACCCCCCCCTCTTGGACACCCCCCTCGTGGCCGCCCCCGAAACCGCCGCCCGTGGCGGGAGAAGGAGGAGGGCCCCGAGACGTTCGGGGGATGGCCAGAGCCCGCACCCGGACACGCCGATTGACCGCTCCCCCCAGATAGGAAAGAGGTACCCCCCCCCCTCCCTGAACCCCTGAGCGGTTCTTAGCTCCGGGTCAGGCAGAACTGATTGTGGAGAGGGGCGGCGAGGCCGAAATGGACCATCGCGGGGTGAGATTGCGGATCGAAGTTGCTATCTTCTTATGTTGACTAACGACATCAAATCGCTGAGCATGGCAATGGAGGTGGACAGAGCCCTCACCCTGACACGCCGATTAGTGACGTCCGTTTGCGGTTCTCGAGAGGGAGTCTCGTCTGTCATCTTCCAGGCTTGCGCCCGCCAGGCTTGGGCCCAGCGTCGGTTTCATTGAGCCGCGTTTTGCTACGAAGGGGGTCCTGCCTATCCCCGAGACATGTCCGCCGAGGCACTGGCGCGAGGGCCCCTGTGGTGCGCTTGCGGACCCGCCTGTTGGGCCATCTCTTGGCGCCGTCTTGGAGGCCTAGTGGGTCCCGCATGGGCTGCGCGTCCGTGGAGCGATCTGAGAGGACTCCCTGGGCGTCTTTGGGCGCTCGCGCGACGCGCGAGGCGAGAATGGCCAACTCGTGTCGACAAATCGCCGCTCGGGACCATCTGGGCGCACGTTGAACGCCTGGATTCCCCATCGGGTATCCGAGGCACCGGGAGAGGTCGCGCGACAGACCCCAGAAGCGCCTTGGCCCGCCCGCGAGCATCCGTGAGGCGATCTTGGGCGTCTTGGCGCGCCCTTGGGCCGTCTCGGGACCATCTCGGACCGTCTCGGGGCTCTCTCGGGGCCCTCCTGGTCTGTCTGGTCACCCTCTCGCAGCTTCTTCGGCGCTCTGGGGGCATCCCGGGGCAACTGGGCAAACTCTGGCCCCCCCAGTGGAGCCCAGGAGGCTCCGAGTAGGCCCCGCGAGGGACCCAAGAGGGGGGCAGCGAAGGGGCCGTTGGAGCCTTTCCCCCGAATATTATGCACCACCCTCCCAGCATGTTCCCAAGAGGCCCCCAAGAGGACCACAAGAAAGCCCCCAGAGCCCCCGGCACCCCCCCAAGATGCCCCGAGAGGCCCCCCCGGAAGCCCCCAGCAGGCCCCCGAGATGATCCGAGAGGTTTCCGAGAGGCCTCCGTAGCCATTCTGGCTCAAGACGGGAGCCCCCTCTCCCCTCCCCCCCAGTGGTCCGGCCGCGCCCCCTCCCGTCTCCCCCGGCCGCGCACCGCCCATGGCGGACGGCGCCGGCGAAGGCGGCGCGGTCCAGGAGGAAGAGGACGACGGCATCGACGAGGACGTCGTGGTCATCATCGACAACGGCTCTGGCGTCTGCAAGGCTGGTCTCTCCTGCGACAAGGACCCGCGGGCGATCTTCGACGAGGTGGTCGGCAAGCCCAGGAAGACGTGCAGGTCTTCGCTCGAAAAGGAGTTCTACTACGGGGACCAGGTGAACGCCGTCCGCGACAAGCTCGCCCTCAGCTACCCGCTGGAAAATGGCATCATCGAGAACTTCGAGCACATGGAGCTGCTGTGGGAGTATACCTTCTTCGAAGCGCTGAAGGTGAATCCCTGCAAGCACCCGGTGCTCCTCACGGAGCCGCCCTACAACCCGAAGCCGAACCGCGAGAGGATGGTCGAGATCATGTTCGACGTCTTCGCCGTGCCTGCCCTGAACATCTCAATACAGGGCGTGCTGGCGCTTCTAGGCACGGGGCGCACCACGGGGCTCGTTCTGGACAGCGGCGAGGGCGTGACTCACACGATCCCCATCTTCGACGGCTACGGCCTCCCCCACTGCATCAACCGCCTGGATCTGGCCGGGCGGGAGCTCAACACGCTGCTGGCGAAGCTGCTCGCGCAGGAGGGCACCACGCTGACGACAACCTCGCAGCAGCACCACGTCCGGCAGATGAAGGAGCAGCACTGCTACGTGGCCCTGAATCCCAGCGCCGAGATCGCGCAGAGCGTGGAGTACAGGATCCCGGGCGAGAAGCCCATCACGCTGACCGACGAGAGGTGGAAGTGTCCAGAGGCGCTGTTCAGCCCGTCGCTGGTAGGCGTCGAGTCCGTGGGCGTGGGAGGGCTCGTGTGGGAGAGCATCTCCAAGTGCGAGATCGACCTCCGCAAGAAGCTGCTGGGGAACATCGTCCTCTCCGGCGGCTCGACGCAGTTCCCGGGCTTCGCGGCCAGGTTAGCACAGGACCTACGCGGGTACGCCCCGAGTGGCTCCAAGGCTCACATCAAGGTGGTGGGCGCCAAGGAGTGTGGCCTGGGCCAGGACGCAGTGGCGAGGAGTCAGGATGACCAGTCCCAGCCGGAGCGGTGCCTCGCGGTGTGGGAGGGCGCGAAGGTGCAGGCGAACCTCCGGAGCTTGCAGGAGGACCAGTGGATGACGATCGAGGATTACGACGAGTACGGCGCGTCCTACATCCACGACAAGATCGCTCTGAAGTACAACTGACACGGTGTGCTTGCATCGTCGAGACTTATCCGCGCCGGTTCGGCCCGCGTTTTTCCTTTGTTCTCTTGCCTCGTCATCTACTCCAGATTTCGTAATAAAGGGAGGGGGGGTCTCATTTCGGGGGGGGTCTCTTCCAGGCTGTCTTGGAGGGCCTGGGGGGGTCTGGGGACGATGTTTTGGAGGGTTCTCCCACGGGGGAGGCCTGAAATGGCTTGTCTTGGAGGGTCCAGACCCCCTCCCTTTGATTACGAAATCTGGTGTACCCTTGTCGGCCCCGGCCCCCCCGCCCCGTCTCACACCCGCGCTCGCTCGCGCCGCCCGTCGGCTGCCGGCCCGCTTGTGGGACAGGCGGGCCGCGCGGGCAGCCCCGCCTATGCACGGGCGCGGCGAGGAGAGAAAAGAGAAGAGGTTTCCCGGAGGCCTCCTGAGAGTCCCCAGCCTTTGGTCCACCATGCTGGCACGGTGGCGGGATGGGACCACCGCAGCTCTCCATCGCCCCAAGACGCTACCAGGATGGCCCAGAGGAAATCGAGATGGCCCAGTGGGGGGGCATCATCGCCGCTCCAGAGGTCCCGAAAACGGCCAACATACTGCCCCAAGAGATCCCCAAGACCGACCAGGGAACGCCCAGACGGCTCCCAAACGGCATCGCAATACACCCAAGACGGACCCTCCGGCACGCGTCCAAGAGGTTTCAAGATTGTCCTTTCATGGTTGAAGGTGCTGAAGGCAGATGAAGAGTAGGATGAGGAGGATGAGGAGGGGGAGGAGGAGGAGGAGGAGGAGGAGGAGGAGGAGGAGGAGGAGGAGGAGGAGGAGGAGGAGGAGAAGGAGGAGGAGGAGGAGGAGGAGGAGGAGGGGGAGGAGGAGGAGGAGGAGGGGGAGGAGGAGGAAGAGGAGAGTACGCACTTCCAGGGGAGATGCCCCAGATATGGCCCCAGAGGGATTGAATATGTCCCAGTAAATACAGAGGAGCCCCAGTCGGCACAAGCGGCACCAACGCCGCCTTGAGCGGCCCTCTTTTCACCTCCTCCCTCACCCCTTCCTTTTTTCCCGCCCTCCCCTCTCACGTCTTCTTTTCTTCCTTCCTGTCCCTCTCCTTCCCCCAGTGCTGCTCATCTTTCTGCCCTCCCCCCTTATCCGATTCCTTTTTGGCTGCGAACCCCATGGCCACCGCGGCGCAGCAGGCAGCACACTGGGGCGACCCAAAGGGGAACCGTCAACGGGGTAGGACCTCGTCCTTGTCCTCGGTCCTCCTTCCTCCCCTTCGGCACTCGTCTCTCATCCAGCTGCCCTGCTCCCTCCTGCCCCCCCTTCCCCCCTTAGCCCGCCCTCCCCGCTCCCTGCTCCTCCTTCCCGTTGGCTGGCGGACTGCGCGGAGGCGGGGAGGGTGCAGCCGACTGGCGGCCCCGTCGGCTGGTGGGTTGGATGGGCGGCCTCAGAAGAAGGGTATGATGATGGCGCTGCTGCCACTGTCGCTCCTCTCCCCACCCTCCTCCTCCCCCCTCCTCCTCCTCCTTCTCCTCCTCCTCCTCCTCCTCCTCCTCCTGCGCACGGTTCTAGAGAAATTGCGAGAGTGGGGATCAAGAGCTGTGGGTGGCCACACTGGACGTAGAAAAGGCATTCGACAGAGTACACCACTCATCACTGTTCGATTCGGTGCTTGAGACCGGTATTGATGCTCAGGTAACCGGTGCCCTCTGCTTGTAGTTGGATGTCAACCGGTACGTCGCGCTGTGGCCCGGTGCAAACCGTCGTGAGTTTGTCGTGGAGAGGGGAGTAAAGCAAGGAGACCCGCTCTTCCCGGCGCTGCTTAGTTTGGTGTTGATCCTGTCGCTGTCCAGTCTTAGGCCTCGGTCGAAGGGGATTGCCCTCGTGCGCCCGACCTGGCCTCCCAAGTAGGGTCCGAGTAGATGGGGGCAGAGGATCGCGCAGCATCGACTATGCATCGGCGATGCGGCTCGATGTGGAGTTCGATTTTCTCCACGTCGATGGCGCCGATGCATCGACGACGTCGCCGATGCATCGGCGATGCACCGGTGAGGCACCGACGAAGCGGCTCGATCTTCCGACCCCAGCTGCTCGGACCCCGTTTGGGAGGCTTCTAGAAGAGGAGGGGTGGGATGAAGAGCAGGACGCGAGAAAAGTGGTGTTTGCACGATTCTGCGGACCGTTGTCGCTTTTGTTTCCGTTGTGCAGCAGAGGGCGGAGCAGAGACAGAGCGAGGGAGCACGAGCACAGCACGAGAAAACGGAGCACCTCGTCTGGCTCGAGCCCCGATGAGGAAGACGAGGGGGAGGGAGTCGAGGAAGGTGAGGAGGAGGAGGAGGAGGAGGAGGAGGAGGAGGAGGAGCATGAGGAGCAGGAGGAGGAGGAGCAGGAGGAGGAAGAGGAAGAGGAAGGGGAGGAGGAGCGGAGGAGGAGGCGGAGGAGGAGAGGAGGAGGAGCAGGAGGAGGAGGAGGAGGAGGAGGAGGAGGAGAGGCGGAGGCGGACGAGGCGGAGGCGGCGGCGGCGGCGGAGGAGTGTGCATCCCCCCGCGCGCGCACAACGAGGAGTGTGGCGCATGCGGCTGCGGGGACGAGGGCGGACAGCAGGCGCGCCGCGCCCCCCGCCTCACGGCGGCACCTGCACGCCCCTACGGCGGCCCTCTCCCAGCGGCGCCAGGCGAGGCCAGGCGGGGCCACCCCGGGGGGCGCGGAGCTGACCGCGCTTCGCGCACCGCGGCCGGGGCCGCGGTGCTCTAGGGGCTGTCGGGCGCGCGGGGGGATGCACACTCCTCCTCCGCCGCCGCCTCCTCCTCGTCCTCCTCTCCTTCCTCGTCTTCCTTCCCCTCGTCCCTGGTTCGACTTGAGCATGCCCATGGCATTTTTTAGCCTTTTCAGCTCGGCGTCTTGGAAAGCGTTTTTTTAGCGTTTTCAGGTCTCAACTAAAAACGCTAAAACAAACTGATTTGTTGTTTCAGCGTTTCAGACATTGGTTTAGCGTTTCCAGCCTGACAGCGCCAAACAAAGGCCAAAACAACTGTCCCAATGGCGCTAACAAAACGCAGCGTTTTTTTGTTGCGTCTTCAGCCTGTCAAGAGCCCAAAGTAGAAATCATTAACATGATCCCGGCAAAGCAACCTAACAGCGATGTGTAGGAGCATATCTGGAAGCATTCCCCTTAAGATTCATATGAGAATCCAGTTGTAGAATTCTGCTGTTCTCGCAGTCGCAGTCGCATTCGCGATGACAGTCGCAGTGGCAACGGCAGTCGCAGTCACAGCCTCAGCCTCAGCCTGCCTCAGCCTCAGCCTCCGCCTGCCTCAGCCTCAGCCTGCCTCAGCCTCAGCCTCAGCCTGCTTCAGCCTCAGCATCAGTCTGCCTTCAGCCTCGGCCTCAGCCTCAGCCTGCCTCAGGCCTCAGCCTGCATCAGCCTCAGCCTCAGCCTCAGCCTGCCTCAGCATCAGCCTGCCTCAGCCTCAGCCTCAGCAGCCTCTGCCTCAGCCTCAGCCTCAGCCTGCTTCAGCCTCAGCCTCAGTCTGCCTTCAGCCTCGGCCTCAGCCTCAGCCTGCCTCAGCCTCAGCCTGCATCAGCCTCAGCCTCAGCCTCAGCCTGCCTCAGCATCAGCCTCAGCCTCAGCCTCAGCCTCAGCCTGCCTCAGCCTCAGCCTCAGCCTCAGTCCTGCCTTCAGCCTCAGTCCTGCCTTCAGCCTCAGCCTCAGCCTGCCTCAGCCTCCTGCAGCCTCCTCAGCATCTGCAGCCTCAGCCTCAGCCTCAGCCTGCAGCCTCAGCCTTCAGCCTCAGCCTCAGCCTGCCTCAGCCTGCCTCAGCCTCAGCCTCAGCCTGCCTTCAGCCTCAGCCTCAGCCTGCCTCAGCCTGCAGCCTCAGGCCTCAGCCTCAGCCTCAGCCTCAGCCTGAGCCTCAGCCTCAGCCTCCTCGGCCTCAGCCTCAGCCTGCCTCAGCCTGCAGCCTCAGCCTCAGCCTCAGCCTGCCTCAGCCTCAGCCTGCCTCAGCCTCAGCCTCAGCCTGCTTCAGCCTCAGCCTCAGTCTGCCTTCAGCCTCGGCCTCAGCCTCAGCCTGCCTCAGCCTCAGCCTGCATCAGCCTCAGCCTCAGCCTCAGCCTGCCTCAGCATCAGCCTGCCTCAGCCTCAGCCTCAGCCTGCCTCAGCCTCAGCCTCAGCCTGCTTCAGCCTCAGCCTCAGTCTGCCTTCAGCCTCGGCCTCAGCCTCAGCCTGCCTCAGCCTCAGCCTGCCTCAGCCTCAGCATCAGCCTGCCTCAGCATTCAAAATGTGGCCCAGGAATGGAGTTCTGGGAACTCGAAGAACACGAAGTGGCCTACAGTTGGCTCCGGGCATTCAAAATCATGCCCAGGAATGGAGTTCTGGGAACTCGAAGAACACGAAGTGGCCTACAGTTGGCTCCGGGCATTCAAAATCATGCCCAGGAATGGAGTTCTGGGAACTCGAAGACCACGAAGTGGCCTACAGTTGGCTCCGGGCATTCAAAATCATGCCCAGGAATGGAGTTATGGGAAGTCGAAGAGCACGAGGTGGCCTACAGGTGGCTCCGGGCATTCAAAATGTGGCCCGGGAATGGAGTTCTGGGGGGTCGAAGAGCACGAAGTGTTTGACTATTTGCTTAAAACGAGCCCGGCCCTCGCCTGTCCGGCTCCCGCCCAGACCCCCTTGGGGAGTCATCAGATGCTCTCTTTTGACCCCATTAGAAACCTATCAGTCTTCGCTGTTAGGTAAACCAAAACGCCCAGGGCGCTTTTAAGGTGAACCAAACCCTCGTCCTCTTCCTCAGGGTTCGAGGCAGACAGGGTGTTCCGGTTTCTCGTCCTCTTCTCGTGTTCCTTCGTTTTGTCTTCGTTCCGCCCTGTGCTGCACAACAAATCAAAACGACAAACGGTCACAAAATTGTGCAAAACACCGCTTTCCTCGCGCCCCGCTCCTCGTCCCACCCCTCCCCTTCTGGAAGCCTTCCAACTGCCGTCCGAGCAGCTGGGGTCGGAGGATCGAGCCGCTTCGCCGGTACGCGTACCGGTGCGTCTCCGCTGTGGAGCCCGATGTTCTCACGCCAACGTCGCCGATGCGT